AAATTTGTTGGTAAATTGATCAAATTGGTTGGCAAATTGAGTTTCCAACCAAATGCCAACTTATATTAATCCGTTGCTAAAAGGCTCGTCGGTAAATATTACCAACTGATTTTAATTTGTTGGTAAACTTACCAACCAAAAATCAGTTGGTAAACACCCAAAGATGATGTTACAAAATTTTGAAACATGGCCCTGAAATTTCCGTTGGTAAATTCACCAACTAATTTTTGGTTAGTATATCGTTAGTACCTTTACTAACGAATTGAAAAGGAGTTAGTAATTTTTTTTCTTCATTATTCGATTCCGTTGGTAATTATAGTAACAAATGTCTAATAGTAAACTTTTCCAGATACATTGGTAATTGGTTGGCAATTTTAGTAACAAAAAATTTATGTTGGTAATTTACCAATAAATTTTAAATACTTTTTTTTTTTTGGTTTCCCATCCGGTGTCCGGTACCCACATTAGAGCCCGACTAAATCTGAATTCACGCCGGGAAGTCCCATATTGGGGGGTAAAGAGCTCCCTAACAAGGCGACTCCGTACACATTGGAGCCCGACTAAATCTGAATTCACGCCGGGAAGTCCCACATTGGGGGTAAAGCACTCCCTAACAAAGGCGACTCCATACCCAAGGGGAATCGAACCCAAGACCTCTTGGTTAAGGATGAAGGAATACTTACCACTCCACCACAACCCTTGTTGGTAATAAATTTTAAATACGTTAGTATGATTATTTGTTTTTCTAATAAATTTACTAATTGATTGTTAGTTTGTTGGTAATATATCATTCAAGTTCAATGTTAGGTTAGTAATTGATTGACAATATGTTCAAAATATTATTAACTGAATGATTATTCAATAGTAAAATATTTATTAATTTATTGCATTTAAAAATCTAAGAGCACGAATATAAATCCAAAAATATTAATATCAATTTTATAAATCATATTTGAATGAAACAATGCAAAATCTATGAAAACAAGTTAAATTAATCTCAATATGACACATATCATTATATCAAAAAATTTAATTTGAGCATGTTTACCAAAAATATTGACCAAATCTAAATTTTGGCCAAAACTTAAAAGTTAAAACGCCTAATAGCACAAACTGAAAATGGAAGCCTCAAAACTTAAACCAACCATCCTATTAGATATAAAAATGACCTTCCGAAGCTAACTACAATCTTTATTCGTTGGCAAAATTTCCAACTAATTGGATATTGGTTGGCAAGTTTACCAACAAATTACATTTCATTACTAATTTACCTACACATTTTTATTTGGTTGGTAAATTTAGCAACACAATCTTGCCGTTGGTAAATGTTTGGTTAGTAATTCATTGATAATATGTTAATAGATTATATAAACAATTTTTTTGTCATATTTACCAACCATATATACTTCGTTGGTAATATTACCAACAAAAGGTGTGCGTTAGTAATATTTCAGTTGGTAATCCATTGATAGAATGTTGCTAAATCTGGCGCCATTTTTTTCCGCCGTATTTACCAACTAAAATACTTAGTAAGATTTTGGTTGGTAATCTGTTAGAATTTCGTTGTTAAGTTTTAAAATATAATTCAGTTAGAAATATTGTAGTGCAAGAAGAAAGAATCACACGAAGAAAATAACAAAAAGACCAATTTAAACTTTCAAATGAAGCATTTCACGCAATTCAACATGCTATTGGAGAAGGAAAAGGTGATGAAATTGAGTCGTCCTGCCACCAATCATAAAGGATATCCATGTTTTGGCCTACTAATAAAAATACAACATACTTAGTGTAATCCCAATATACCACAGGTGAGGCCGTGAGGTCAGGGTAGAATATATGCAGACCTTAACCCTACCTGTTGGAAGTAGAGAGGTTGTTCTTGGAAGACCCCTAGCTCCAGTAATGCATATCAAAAACATACAAAAGTAAAGAAGACATAACAAATACTAGAGGAAGCATTACACGACATTCATTAAAAAAATCAGTAACAACAACAAAGTAATGTGATAACCAAAGCACAAGAAATAATCAGTAGTAACAAAAATAGAGGGACAATAAAATACATGAATACTACTAATACTACCGGTATTAAAGGAGAAACAGATATGATGCACCAAACTTCCACCAAGCCTATCTCATTATAAAGTGAGACAACACTCACTACTTACTAGCCTTCTACTATAATCCACGACCTTTATATCTACCTATCTAAGGTCGTGACCTCAGTAAGCTAAAGATATGTCATATCCTATGTAATCACCTCTGCTCAATACTTCTTATGTCAACCTCTAGCTCTTCTTACACCCACCAGTGTCAACATCTCACACCACCTCATGGGGTCTCTATGCCTCTTTGACTTCACATGCCCGGACTATCTCAATCTCACTTCCTCATGTTGTCTACCATGGGTCAGTTCTACCTTGCTGGTTCTTCATTTCTAATCTTTATCTCCTAGTATGTCCACATATTCACCTCAACATCCTCATTTCTGCAACCCTCGTCATTTGGACATGAGAGCTCTTAACTGGATAACACTTTTCCCCATACAACATAGTCAACTTAAGCACCACTATATAAAACTTACCTTTAAGTTGAAGTGGCCTTCTTATCACACGGGACCCCGATGCGAGCCTCCATTTCGTCCATCCTCCATCTATACGATGGGTGACATCATCATTGATCTCTCCATTTCCTTAGATTAAAGACCAAAGATACTTTAAACTTTCTTTCCTGGGGATGGCTTGTGTGCCAAGTATTCAGTTTTGGTTCTGCTAAACCTAAATCTTTTAGACTCCAAGGTTTGTCTCCAAACCTCCAGCCTAGCGTTAACTCCATTGCGGGTCTCGTTAATATGTACTATGTCATCTATAAATAACATGCACCATTGCACCTCACATTGGATATAACGCATCAATTCATCTATCACCAAGGCAAACAGAAACAAACTCAGCGCTGACCCTGGGTCAACCCCATCACGACTGGAAAGTGCTCTGAGTCTCCTCCCACTATCCTCACCCCGGTCTTGGCTCCATCATACGCCAACAAAAAGGAATATGACCCACAAATAAGGGTGCATGTAAAGACATTACTAAATAAATAAAAGTGTTAACTCTCTAATACTTTAAACATATAGATCCAGGGTAAGCATTTCAATACAAGGTAATAGGAGTCAAAAAGAAGTTTTACCCGCTTGGCCTTTATGCTTAGTTGATTCAAGACCCGGAATTATTGATCTCAAAATGCTGACAGAGTCGGCCTCCAAGCTTGGCCCACTACTCATTACAGATTGCATTCTAATACTCTGAAAATTGAAGTTTTTCTTCTTAGTAGAACCTCCTAAACACCTTATCAAGAACTGCTGCCTCCTGCTGACAGCCGCAGAGTAAGCCAGCTTTAAGTTATCTGCCGGTGGAAGATTAATTAATCTCAAATCATCAAGAGGTAATATTCATTTATGGAATATGCAAGTCAAAGATATATCATCTTTGCGGGATTAAACCCCAAATTATTTGGAAGCAAAAAAATTTAAAAAATGAGATTATGTAAGTAAATTTTCTTGCAACTATTGCAATGGCGTTACTCAAAATTGACGAAATAAAATGAAGATTCCAGTTTGATTTCTTGAAATAAATGTCGTAGACTAGAATTTGTAATGCTGTAAGTTAAGACAGATATATACTACTTATTATATCAATCAACTACGCCAATCCACACTAGCTGGTATCAGCTATACAATTTTTCTATATCCATTCCGCTCTATTCGGGACCATTTTACTCCAAGACAAAGAAATATGCATCTTCCACTGAGAAATTTCGAATTATATACGCATTGGCAAAACCAAAGCTTACCCTTATCAGTCACTAATGGCAACCGATAGCTGAAATTGATTACTTACAAGTGAGAGATTGAGAATTGATGGAAACTACGAAATGGGTTATGCATACTTACCTCTGATGAATTATCGGAGAGGATGAAGATGACCAATTTTCTACACTTCAGCACAAGTGTTCTTGTGTTGGCTCTCTGGAAACTTTGATGGTTTTGGTTTTATTGTTAATTCTCATTCAGCCCCTGAAAAGATATAAGACTTCTATTTTGCCCCTCTAAAATTCTTATTGGGAGATATTGCACCCTTCAATCTTTTTATTGTTGAATCGAAATTTAATTTATTTATTTTTTGGATATCAAATTTTATTTTTGAAATAAATGAATTTGGGATTGTATCAGTAAGACAGATTTTAGGATATTCAAAAATCAAAAATTGTATACATATTATTTAGTCCCAGTATTATAAATACTAATAAGTTGAAATTTCATATGTCCAAGAAATTACCTATTATAGTATTAAATCAAAAATAAAATTACACGATATGGGCGGTAAGATGACTTCAATTCTTATTAACAGTATAAATTCTAAAGAATAAATTATTAGATAAATTGAGGTTGTTAATTGTTAGAGTTTGTCTTAAAGGCTCAAAAGTCAAAACGAAAATTTGAAATATCTAAAATTAAACCAAAGAAAATCTAATTCAACCAATCCGAATCGAAAATGAAAATTGGAAATATCCAAACCGATTAAGTAATTACACAAGTAACATTGGACAAAGTACAAACGTAGCTTTCTAAAGCGCATAAGTAAGAATAATTTAGTAAATAAAAGTAATTTCTTGAAAGGTGTTAAGTAAAATGAAAAGAAAGGAATATAATAAAGATTATAGTTAGTCAACTATTTGGTATCATGAATTTTTTTAAATTTAAAGTGGTTATAAAATCGATTCAAGAAAAGTGACAATTCTTTATAAGTTGTACTAATATTTACTTCGTGTAATCAATAAAGTAAGAAAAATACAGAAGAATTTTTAACTAAATACAAAAATATTAAATTTTTAGTTTGATTAACATTTGATCTTTTTTTTTTTAATTATTAAGATAGGGACTTAAGAAACAAAAACGCCCAAAACTCAAAATCAAGAATCAGCTCGGAGGTGAAAGCAGCGGTAGAAGGAGGAGGAGGAGGAGGAAGAATGAGGGATACGACAAAAATGAAAACTTTTAGATCTGCGTTAGTAGTAATTGGTGCGGTAGCATTTGGGTATCTGAATTTGCAGATCATGTTCAAGCCCTTTCTTGAGAAAACACAAGCACATCAAGCTCTTCTACAATCTCAATCATCCCAACAACAACAGCACTCTGATTTTCATCAATCTGAGTCTGACCAAAACTTATGACTATTTCAATTTAGCGTACAGTTCTATCCCCAATTTTCAGCTCTATAGCTCCTTTTTTTTTTTTTTTTAATTCAATATTTAAGCTTATGGTGTCAACTAACTATTGGTAAGGATATGTAACTGATTATTTGGAACTATATTTGTGTGACCAAATGGTGTATCCAGTATGTTAGGTCCGTGGGTGTACCACTTATCTGTCACAATTGATTTGGACTTGGTATAAGTATATTACAAAAGCTTCATCTCTATTTATAGTCTCAATTTGAAACTTCTTTGGAAGTAGAGAGGAACATAATCTTGTCAATGGAGGTAGACTAAGGTAGTTAATATTTGTTTTGCCAAATTATAATATTGATAATAAAGGAAAAGGAGGTTAATTTTTCTCTAGTTATTTTTTTTTCTTTTTTCTTTGATACTGTTAGTAATGCTGCAGTGCTGTTTATGTGGTTGGAAATGAGGAAGGGGTAACCTAATTTGACTTGGTATATAGAGTTGGAGATGGGGACTCTATCAAGCTTTGGTTATTTTGATAGTTCTGTGGACTGTATCTAATAGTAACCCATGTTTGATTTGGTGACTGCTTAAACAACTGAAATTCTTTTTCACAATTTTAACCAGTTTAAGCTTCAAAACATTTACCATTTCAAGAGATAAGGAGTCAACGGCGATTCGTATTAGGTGTAAGAGTGGTTAGCTGTAGGTGACTTAAAAATGATCATTTGTTTCTTCGAAAGAGCTGCTATACAAATGGTTTTGGTTACTTAATCATTAATCTTCGTTCCTTGCATTCTCAAATAGCCAGAAGCTTTAACTGAAGCTGAGGAAATTTATGTTTCAAATACCTGCAAGACTAGTAAGGTGCCTAGGTGTCTCCATTTCAGTTCTATAGTACAGAAACCTCATGTTTGCTATTGTGTAACACTGTTGGAGAACAGAGAGTTTTACTCGTGTTTATCTCATAGAAGGTTATAGGGAAATTAGAAAATTTTAATGAGGCACTGGTTCAGTTTTTGTATTCCCGTTGGTGGAAGACATCTTAGGTTGACATAAATATGGGGAAAGTAAAAATCATGTTTAAGTAGCTCACTCCAGGAGAGAGTTAGGAGGGCTTTTGTGAGAGCTTTGGTGGGATTTTCGAACGATACATGTTTTCTAGTACGACCTTGTGAGAGGTTCAACTACTGGTTTGACATATTGTTGGGATAATTTCTCCTAGTGACCAACTCCAACAGTTTCTGTTTTGTTAATAAAACCAGGACTTATGTATTAGAAGCGATGCCACCTACCAAAATATGTATCAGAAGTTAGCACCTGAATGCAGAATCTGACATGCAGTTGTTTGGGATTGTAAGACTGAAGTGTTTATCTGCGTGATTTGGAATAGAGTGCTAATTAAACTTCCCGGAGAAGATTTAGAAGGCAAGAATTGTGGAGATGTATATTTGTTTTTTTTTATAACTGTGGTGTCTGGCCAGCTTACCACAAGATAACCTGCCGCCTCCAACTAACAACAGATACTAGGTAACTCTATCTACCAAGGCTAGAACAGATCTTCTTTCAAATCACCTAGTGTTGTGTCTCTGTTGGAATTTGAACCTGAGACCAATTATGGAGATATTATATACAGGAATAGGCTAGGAAGCATTTTAATGTTTATTCCTAACTTCACAATCAAAGATAAAAAAGAGAGATGATGCATCTTTGGTTGTGTTCTGCATAGAGCCAGGAGAAGAACTGAATCGCCTTTGCTACATTTTCAAGTTTTGATATGGCTGTCTGAGTCAGAGAGTAATAGTACAATGATCATTGATTAATTTTGAAGAGCTCCTTGTCAGATTATTTGGTTCCTTGAATGTTCACTACTTTATATTAGATCTCAAATAAACAGCAGCTTCAACTGTAACAGAGGAAATTTGTGAGAGTTTGGGTGGTAGAATATATATTCTTGTAGGGCCTGAATGGAAAATTGTTGATGCAGTTGTTTGGGTTAAGGATTTTGACATAGATGCTAATCAGGTAGGATCAACAAAGCAAGGATTAATTTGGGAGGTCAGATATAAGCAGGTTGGAGTACACAGTTTGTATAGTTAGCAGCACAGAAAGCATTTTAACATAAGATACCTCAGCTCACAAATACAAATTAAGAAACAGAGATTTTGCTTAGTTGATATATATTCGGCTAAGGATCAGGAGAAAAACTGAATCAACTGTGCAACATTTCAAGGGTTCAGAGTAGTTGTCTCAAGTCTACCTTGTAATCCCTTTTTTTGTTTATGCATTTAATGAGGCAAAACACTATTAAAAAATGCTATGGTCTTGGTTGTAATGGGTACGAAAGGAAAAATGGTAGGACGTCTTCTAATGCTGTGATGTGAGTGCTGATATAGAAACTGGCATACTTCTTGAATCTTGACAGTATAGGAAGTCCCCGGGAGGTGGGAAGTCGGATGCAAAGCACATATTTTTTCTTGTCTATTTTACAGCTTACAGTCCATATCAAAGTGTTTAGGAGATTGGATGAGTGTCTGTCCAGTTATCATCTATGTTGCTCGGACTCTTCAAAAATGTTGCCACACCCGTGTCGGATCTTCCAAAAATGCACTACTTGTGAAGGATTTGACATACACCCATCGACATTATTAAAGAGTTTAAGCAACATAGGTTATCATAATTAAGGAAATCTAGTTGAGTATCAGGTAAGTGATGAAAGTGGCCCCTGGAAGGGCACTCCACAAATGGGGCCAGTTTGTAGCCATAATATCTAAGTTGGTACTGGTAAGGATCAATGAGGGCCCTGATCAGCATGGAGTCTTCCCTTGATATCTTGCACTAGCTTACTGTTGACAAATTTCAATTTGTTAGGTACATAGAACTTACTATCAGAGAATTTTGCTGTCCAAACTATCTTCCTGGCTCAACTTTTGCACTAGATACACCTGTGCTCGAGTCAGCAACAAAACCAGAAAAAGATCGAGTTTCCGGCTTCCTCTGATCTAAAGGATTACAGGAAAAAGATGATCCCCATTACATATGAATAGTCAGTGTTAATTATTGGCTATCTATTTCTCGGTTAACATGTATAATAGAAAAGTATATTGCACATATATGTCTAAGATTTACTTTTTATACATATATATTAAATCTTTGAATACCCTTAACAACTTCTTGGTTTCGGCATCGATAGCATGAACATAAAGGCTACATTTGAATTTGTGGGAAGAAGCATATTTTGGTCATGACATTATCTTGATGAAAGAAAGCTACATAATTGTAAAGAGAAGGATATAGACAAGAGGCTTCTTGATGTACATGGCATCTAATTGTGTTCAATATTTTGCTAAGTATAATTATAAATAGTCGGTATGATTAGGTAAGGACAGGGACAAGTGATTGAATTTCAGAAACAAGGAGGAATGGTGTGTGTACTTCATAGACCTAAATTGACTTATTTTTGCAATTGCCACATTTAATAGCTGAGGAATGGGATACTACATGGGCATTTGTCTTAATATGTGTTCACTTTTTTATATTGTGAGTACCCTTTAGTGAAAATCCTGGTTTGGCCATTTCAGTTTTTCTTCACAAGTATGGTGTTAGATTCAACCATATTATTCTAATTTTTGCGCTCTAATACTTGTTTTGATTTTCATTCATCTGTTGTTTGTTCAACTTAAATGATGAGGGAAGATATGTTTTGTTGTATATACTGAAATTTTACTTATCATGACTATATTATACAAGAGTTTAATGTGATTTTGGTTCGTTTCTTGACAGAATATTAGATTGTTTCAAGCGAGGGACATCAATAATTTGTCCAGTTGGGGAAGTAGACGTAAATGGCAAGACAAAGCTTAGTGTAAGAAGTTGAACCATTCTCCAGATCCTGCTAAGAGTATTTAAGAGTTGGTGAATTTTTTTTCATTTGGATCGTCCGTTGCCATATTATTGTGACATAAATAAAAGTAATGTACTTGATATATTATTCACCACTAACTTAAAAGCTCGGATTCATTACTTTTGGCTCGAACTACTTGCTACAAAACACACCAGAGTAATACTACAATTTTGAAGAATTTTTCACCCTTGAGTTAAAATTTTGACTACGACTCACTTGCCAGTTAACAGCTTGATAATGTTGTTGCAGAAATTAGTAATCATGGGGTAGAAATATAACATTCAATTTTAAAAGAAAAAGATATAGTGCTTTAATTAGCTTATACTTCAAGATAGAGTTTTCCCTAACACCATATTCCTCATTTGTAAAAAATAAATAACAGTAATAATTTTTTTTTTATATATATATAATTATATATGTTGTCGGTTGATGCATTTTTGTGGCTGGATGAGATGTAAAGTTACCTTGGGATGACAACTTAGAACTTTCCATGAAATAGCCCTAGCTAGATGTTTTTTTTTTTAATTAAAAAAAAAGATTATATTAAACATTACAAATATTGGGGTTAAAAAAAATGCATGTCAATATTGAGTGTCAACTTAGAGATTTCCTTGAAATATATCTAAATGATTTTAAGATAATGGGTGTCAAATAATAGTCAAATGTTGAGAGACCTTGGCCACTGCAAATCTAACTTTTTGGCACTTAATTAGCAACTAAAAAAGGGAGGTTTCATCACTTGTGCATTTAAATAATTAAATTAAAGAGTAAACGTAGTACACAACTGATACGTTATGTTGCTCAGAGCTTATAATTAGTTGGATTTAATGTGAAATGTGAGTCAACACTTGAAGATACTCATAATAAAAATATAAATGTGGTAGAATTCTATCTTGGGAAATGGAATTTTATCTATTTTGTTTAAGTTGGCGCCCCATCTGGAAGTTTAAATTTGTCTTTCATGGTTTTTCTTTTTACCTAAAAATAAAAAATAAATTTGGAGTAAGATGGCTGGTGATCAATTTATAGGTTGCAATTTCAGTTTCTTCTTTCTTTTATCCATTTGGTATTCCGAGTTACTGGTCCGATTAATCCTAATTTGTACTGAATAGACTCACTAATGAGGTAAAGCTTTTTCTTTCAAGAAATTCTTTATTTTCAAAATCCGAATACAAGTTTTTTTTATTAAGAATGAATGCATTTCAACCATCTCATCCCTTCTTAATAGTCAATTTCATTTTATTTTTATTTCAATTCTACGAACTTTGTTTTTTTTTTTTTTTACTTTAACTGATGAGTTAATTAGGACAATAATTCATCTTTAAACTTTGGAATAATTTCAAAAAAAATCTCTCAAATTTAGGTTTGTATCACCAATTTTCTTGTAGCTTAGGATATCACATTTTAGGTTACATTATTTAGAGTAACATGTCCCTTTCTTAACATTAAATAACTTTTGAGATAGTTTAGCTTGGTGCAATTATTGCTCAAATGAGAAACAAATTAATTATATCAAATTATTGTTTGATATCTCAAAATATTATCGTAGATAACTATTGTTGGAAGGAAAAACCCAATTTTCATTCAACATATGAAGGGGTAAATTGAAATAAAGTCTTAAATAAAAATAAGTGAAAACATTTTGGATTAGCACATATATAGGAGGCGTGTCTCATGCGGTGAGCAACATAGATTTCCCCGCCTGCTCACTTCATTATTCCGAGAACCTTCCCGCCGGCTTTTCTTTTTAAGCTTAAGCTTTATTTATTTCAGATTCCTATTTATTGTAATATTAAATAAATTCAAGTAAGAGGGATTAATTAACATCATTTAAACAACAACAACAAAAAAACAATAGGCCATAGCTAATGACAAAAATTTAAGCTGATTAGTACTTATTTGTTGTTTATATTCAATGGTACTATGATAGACACTAATTAGTATGCATTCACAAATTTCAAAGTTTAAACCTAAGATTTGGTATCAAAATAGACATTTGCTTTAGAAATTTTCAGAATTAGCTAATATTAGATCCCCTTAGCTATATTTTTGCTAATTATAATTTATAGCTATAATATTATTTGCTACTAGATGTATTCAATGTATTTTTTTGGTTCAAAGTTATTTCAAATACAAATACAATACTCCCTCTGTCCCTAATTACTTGTCCACTTTTTTTTTTTAATTATTCCTTTTTACGACAAATCAAGAAAGGACAATTTTGTTTTACCTATTATACCCTCAATTAATTAGTTTGAAAAAGATAAAACTTCTTGAAAATCTTAAATTTTTAATTCATCAACTTCATAATTAATAAGGGTAAAATGGTAAACTCACTGTGTCATGTTTTCTTAATAGGTGTGTCTCAAAAATGGACAAGTAATTAGGGACGGAGAGAGTATTAATCTAGTGCATTAATTATGCAATAACAACTTTTTAAAAAGGTAATTTAGCATAATATCTCAAACTTCCATAATCAATGAAATTATGAAATCCCACAATATCTTTTCCAAAAAAAAAAAAAAAAGAAGAAGGATTGTACTACAACATCTTTTCTTCTTCATTAATTTCATTGTATTATACTGACTATTATTTGTAAGATACTTATATCATTAATTTCGTTATAGACATTTTTTCACTTGAATATATTGGTATGACATTAATATGAACACATTCTGGTGATGAAATACTATAAAAATACTCACATACATTTATACAAGTGCATAATAGTGAACAAAAATACACTCAAATATACTATTAAGATGTATAACAAGGAAAACTGAAGTGAATTAATACCTCTGCAAACTTTCTGCCGACCTAGGGTTCTGGTGGATCCTACATAGGCAGCAGCTGCGCAGCTATCATGGCTGGTACTGACACTGGACGGCCTCCATTCGAGGCTGTCCAGCCCGCCCCACCACTCCAAACCACCGCATATGCCATCCTTTTCAATTTCAATACTATAAATCCTAAACAATCTTCCCTAATTAACTCAAAAACAATCGTAAAATCAATCGAAATAATTCATGGAGAACCTACTATCACGTTTTCAATGGAGGAAAGGCAAGACTTTATGATCGAAGAAGGATTACATCAAGTAGTGGTGTTTAAATTATCCCATGATGCGCCAGATTTGAACGTATTAAGATCAATTTTACCGAAACATCTTGGTACCAAGGACAATTGTTTAATTGGCTTACTTGCTCCAAGACAAATTCTGTTGAGGTTTGATCAATATGAAGATTATGTACTAGCTTTATCTCGTTCAGTTAATTATCTTCTCTACAATGGAGAGGAGCACCAATGTAGGGTTTTTCCATGGTCCATTGGATCTAACCCTAAGGAGGAAACAACGTTAGCTGTGGTTTGGATTTCTTTACCGAACTTATCTCCAGATTTGTTTGCAAAGAAGTCTTTGTTGTCTATAGCATCAGCAATTGGGAAACCAATAGCTATAGATAAAGCTACTCAAATCAAGTCAAGACCTAGCACGGCTAGGATCAAGGTTATACTTGATCTAATGGAAAAACTTCCAAATCGTATAAGGTTGTAGTTTGTGGATGGAAAATCTGGTAAGTTGATCGAGGTTTTTCAGGAGATTGTATATGATAATCTACCTTTGTATTGCAATTATTGTACGTACCAAGGTCATGATGAAGATAGTTGTCGTTTGATTTCGAAAAGAAATCAAAATAACAAATAAATTGATGGTACCATTGAAGGTGCTTTAAAAGGTACTACCGATAGTGAAAAGTATCAAGGCGATGCGAGAGAAATATTAAATGAAAAAAGAAAGACTGTAGATGTTGATCAAAGTAAGGCTACTTCTTTAGATCGACAATTGGTTGCTTCAATTCCACTTCCGAGCAAAATCGTGTAGACTCAATGGATGTTGATACAAGTAATATTGGTGTTCAAACAACTACCGAAAACAAAGGTGATTGCAATAACCAACAGGCTGCTATTAATGAGGTGCAATCAAAAGAAGTTGGGTTGAATTTGATGTCTAATGCAACTAAAAACGCAAGGGGAACACCAAGAGTTAGGGTTGATGCGCCGCGAGTTGATTCAAGGCAAAAATTAATGGATTCAGTACAAAAACTAATGGATACATCTGATGTTAA